GAGCTGGGGAGCCGCAGACCTGAATTTGTAAGAATGGCTACAAAAGAGCTTCTCTCTACAAAATTATGTTCTGAGTATGACAAGCTTACAAACGTTTGCAGATTTTGAGCTTTAAACATACTTTCCATCTCCAAATTGTAAACATACCCACCAGCAGAGCAAGATCTCTGCATCTCAATGCATAGTGCGTTGTCAGGAGCTTCTTGCAATACTACCTAAAACTTAAGATCAACCAAACCACTGGATGCATTCCAAGAATGTTAGTGAAGTGTGTAATTTTTGCATCCACAGAATTAAATATTTAGAAAAATTCTGAGGCTTTGTTAGAAATTGAGGTTTCTAAAATGGATTTTTAGGCTCTTTAGAAAACATAATGAAATGTAAAGTCTTTTTAGCTTTATTTCCTTATATTCTGTATTGGGCTAAGAGAGAACATTTAGTGTTCCTTGGATACAAAATTGCCTCGTTGTACTGTTAAATCTTGATTGTTCTCCAGACAAAATCAGCTAAATAGCCCAAGTTTTGTTTGGTGTTGACTGATATGCAGTTGCCTTTTAGTGAGTACTATTGGTGATAGATGGATGGTTGGACTGATGATCTTGAAGGTCTTTTCCAACCTCGGTGATCCTGTGATTCTGTGATATTCACAGGCCTGGGCTTCATTCTGCCCTAAGGCTGTGTGCATTAGCTGTCCATTCCAGAATTGCTGCTCACACACAGGTTGTAGATGCGTTATCATAGATAATCCTACCTGAAAGAGTTTTTATACAGTTTGGCAATCACAGGCGGGCAGTGCAACAGCAGACAGGCTGGTATCCTCCAGGTGAGATGTGAGTGTGGTATTAGCAGCCAGTACAGGAAGAGACAAAGCTTTCATATTTTCACTGAAACTCTGTAACAGGGTGGTTGTTACAAAAACCAATCAAGGATGAGTACTAACAAAAAACAGAAGAGAGCACCTCTGCTGTGAGGACAGGATGAGAGAGCTGGGGTTCTTCAGCCTGGAGAAGAGAAGGCTCCAAAGAGACCTTATAACAGCCTTCCAGTACCTGAAGGGGCCTACAGGAAAGCTGGAGAGGGACTCATTAGAAGGGGAGGAAGCAGCAGGAGGAGGGGAAATGGCTTTAAACTGTAAGAGGGTAGATTTAGACTACATATTAGGTAGAAATTCTTTACTGTGAGAGTGGTGAGACACTGGAACAGGTTGCTCAGTGAGGCTGTAGATGTCCCCTCCCTGGAAGTATTTGAGGCCAGGCCGAATGAGGCTTTGAGCAACCTGGTCTAGAGGGAGGTGTCCCTGTCTATAGGCAGGGGTTGGAAATAGATGATCTTAAAGGTTCTTTCCAATCCAAACCATTCTCTGATTCTATGATTTTATGATTCTATGATTCTATGATTATTTGATGCTATGATTCTATGATTCTATGACAGGCATCCTAATGCCAATTAGTCCTGAGAGAGACAGTTTATTCTGTCTCACAGTTATCTAGTGCTTTACCTTTAGTTTATCTAGCAATAAAATCAAAGGCCTGGTATTTATGAAGAAATGCGTACAAAGATGCAAGAAAGAGACCTAATCCTTTAACCTCTAGTACTTGAAGGATTTGTAAAATTATACATTGAATCAAAAGGCAGATAAATATGTAATAATCGCAATTTCAAAAGTAACAAAGCTGGTTCAATGTCCAAATGCCCAAAGACACTTAGATGTCTGATTGCACTGAAATCAGTAATAAACAAGAATTAAGCACTTCAGTTTGCAGATTTGAGCACTTAGTCCTATGAGACCAATCAATGCAACAGCTTTTGGCAAAGCCAGTAGGTGCCTGTTACATCTTTGGGGAGTGTCGTGTTGAATTTGTTGGAAACTCTTCAAATAAATTTTGATATTAAGTGCACGTTATTCATAGAATTACTATGTTATTCCAATTATTTAATAACCTGTGAGTGTTTTAGAAGCATTTATTGTTTATAATGCATTTGTGACATGGAATAGGACCTAGTTTACAATGCACAGCAAGACTTCATATTTTTCTTCTAGTCTTTAAACACTAAAATCAATAACTATATAATTAATGAGGCAGCATACATTTTAATTATTCTGCTAGTTACCTGAAAAAATTAAAAACCAACAATCCAAGTCTTGCATTTAAAAGTAGACAGCAATTTTATTCAAGTGACAATGCACATTCATACTGTGATTTCCCAAGGCATTTCTTGATTCATATGAAGCTGGATTGTATTTATAGGATATATAGGATATATAGAAGATATTTAGAATAAGAATGTCATTATTTTTAGACACATAATAATAGCCTGGGAACAGCTAAGCTCTAAACAAATACCTCTTCATAAAGCACAGAATTCTTCCTCTAATTTCATCTGTTAAAGGTCTTGGTTTCATTTGTAATTCAAATAAGAGCAAAGAATCAGACTGAATTACTCCCCCAGCAGTCTGTCCCTACATTTTTCTGCCTCCTGGTCCGACCATCCTTCCTTCTGTCCCAGGGAACACATTCTGTCTCCTCCACAGCACAGCAGGGACTGAGGTCCATCTGTCAACAGCGAGAAGCAGAGCTTGTGGTGGATCCCACTGTGACTCTCAGCACCTGTATTTGGGAACACCATGCGAGAGTAAGGCATTGCCCAAATAAGTGTCTCAAGCTAATCCAGGCTTTCAGGCTTAGTAAAGGCTTTGTATAGTGCAGAGGGAGGCTGGCAGGAGCTAGGCTGCAAATCCTAGCATCATTCTCTGCCAGAATTAGATCTATATATGTATATACACTCACATCTCCCTTTGTCAAATTACAGGAATCAATAACTGCTGACTCACAGAGATTTTTACAGCTCTCTCATGATCTCCATTCCTCAAATATCAAAGGTAACTGTAATATCAAGTAAAAATAACAGCAGCAAAGAAAGTTTGTTAGGGTTGAGTTGTTAGTGCCCACACAAGTGGAGGTAGAAAGAAAAGTAAAAGATCTGAAACCTTTGTGGGATTTATTATTGATTTTTATTAAGTATCAGTATTCCTCTCAAGTAGTACTATGAAACAGAAATTAATTATTACCAAATTTACTTCTGTTATTCTAGGATATTCATCGCTCTGGAGACACACCTCTAGCTCTTTGCCAGCCTTCCCTCAATGGTTAGAGGGGCTTCTCTTACTCCAGCAGTTCAGAGCACTGCCCATGAGAATTATGATGCCCCAAATAAGTTTTTCAGTTCTCTCTGTCTCCTGTTTATCCTTCAGGATTCATTTTTGTGTGCACTTCTGAGGAAAACCCTGGAGTGGGTGGTACTTTGGTAGACTGCCAACCATTTATATGAAATTTGTTGTTCTTTCCCACAGTAATAAACAAAGAAATGAGATAGTTTTTAGTTATTAATCTGTTGGTTTTTTTTGTTTTTTTTTTGTTTTTTTCCCACACAGCCACTCTATTTTAAACGAGCTTATGTCTATTTTTCATCTATTCCAAAGATTTGATGTATTTATCATTTGATAGGACAAAGGGAAATGGACTCAAACTAAAAGAGGGGAGATTTAGATTGGATGTAAGGAAAAAGTTTTTGACAGTAAGAGTTGTGAGGCGCTGGAAAAGGTTGCCCAGAGAGATGGTGGAAGCTCCATCCACGAAGACATTCAAGTCAAGGCTGGACAAGGCTCTGGGCAACCTGATCTAGCTGTGGTGTCCCTGTTAATCGCAGGGGAATTGGAGCAGATGACCTTTAAAGTCAACTCAAATGATTCTATGATTCTATGATTTTATCTCCATAGCCCAAGTATGTGTGCACAGCATGTATACATTTGGCTCTGACATAATAACTTATGTAATAATACTTAATTGAAAGTTATTCTTCACATGATAGATTTGAACTGATTGAACAAAGTGAATCATTTGCATCATCCTTCTGCCTGTCTGTCTTCCTGTCAGTGTAATTATCTGTTCTTCCTCAAAGAAAATATCAGCCAGGCACCCAAGAAGGGCTCAGATCTCAAAGGTCATCACATATATAACGGTGATGGAAATAGCCTGCTGATTAAATACGAAAGAGCAACCCGAAGGCTGAGGTGCACAGTGGTCACCCTGTGAGCCAGTGCAGCAAGGTTCTGAATATGACTTAACCTTGGAAAAATTTAAACTGGCGTCACAGTCAGTGATGAGATGTGGGTCCATGGGAAGCTTCCCTTTATTATTTCCAGGGCTCAGGGAGCTACTTGTTTCCTGATTAATAAAACTAGTTGTGAAAAGTCAGGACCAGTTATGGCAACAACAATAACGTCTGTAGTTGTTCCAATAGTTCTTTGTACTTGTTTCCTGTATTTATTGCACATTTAATACTCAAATGGCAACAGTCATGCTTGACAAGATTAGGAAATACGGAGTTTCCTTCTTTTACACTTCACAGTTCTCACATGGGGATGTGGACCTCTCTGAGCTCCCTCTTCACAATGTTAGAATACCCTAATAGCTTTGAGAATCACACTGTATGTATGGACTCCCTCTGTACAACTCCACACATCCAGTAGCTTTTTAACTGGTCCATCAGTGCAAGGCTGATCCACTGTAAAGCATCTCCGAGGAGCACACATGGGTGCTGTGGGGTGCTGCTATTTCCTGCCCTGTGCCGATTGGTGCTCACTCCAGTGCTCCTTGGTAGCAGATGTCACGGTCATAGAATGGTGAAGACTGAACAGTCGATGGAGGTTGATGCCAAACAGTCTCTATAAAAAAAGGCTCTTCCTGAATTGTTTTGTTGGCTCTGTTTTGCAAGCAGCCTTGCTTTCCCCTGCCCCACAGTCACTGCTGTCAGTGCTTGTCACTAGTGAGCGTGCGGCTCTCGAAAAAATTCATTCTTTGCAAACATTAATCGGGTCACTCCCTTCTCAGGCCATAAAAGTTGGTCAAACAAAATCATTATGACAAGAGCCAGGCTGCTTACAAGTATTACATCCAACTTTTTTTTGTGCACTTATTTACTTACTTTGCAATGCCATGGCGAGTGTTTAAATAAAAATCTACACATATCTTCAGACCCTCTCAGTTTCTCATTAGTTAAAAACCCACTCATTAGGAAGAGCAAATTCCCCAGACAAACACATCAGCTGTTGTAATTTGTTCTGCCAAAGTTTACTGCTGTTCACTGGTTTCACAGAGGTAAGTGCCATGTTATTTACTCAATTAATACTCTGTAAAGAAAAGTTTTCTCTTCTGGTTATAGCCTACCACTTATGGAGACTTTCTGAGTTATCTTCTGTAGCACATCACTTCTGAACTGTATTTTCTTTCTGTTTTCTCTTGTTAAATAGCTTCTTGGTGATTTATACTCCACAATGTATAACAGCTATTTTAGATGAGAAAACTGATGTTGAAAAGCTGTCTGTGAATAAAATTCACATTTGAAAAGCAGGAGAAATGCTTGGACTTTAAAGGCATTTTAGCATATGATTAACTATTTTAATATGTAAAGTGGTGCACTACGTTATGCATACAACACTACAGACCAAGAAGGCAGCTAATTATATGTTGGCCATGTATTGAATTCCATATGAAAAAATAAAAATATGCCATTTTCATTAGAAACAAAATATAAAGTTTAATTTTTTCAAAATAAGTCACAGCTTTGCATTAAGGCATTCTATCACAACAACCAGTGTGTTTTCAACTAAGCGCAAAAGCAGTCCCAAAGAGGATGCTGTTAGTTGCATGGCAATGACTTCTGTCCATTAATGGTTTGTGTTAAGATATGCTGGGTATTAGCAGAGAGAGAGATGCTTTTCCCCAGATGAGCTGAGTACCCGCATGCAATTAAAGTCTGAATTTAATGCTACCTCAAGTACTTCACTTATATTTTCAAATTGCCCCGAGTTTCTGTTTGGCAAAGTGTAATATTTCATTTTGTGTTGTCCAAAGAATAGGACTTACTTATTGCAAGCAGAAATTTACAGTGGAATATACAAATATTTTAAGCATTTGTCAACACATTAGTAATTTTTAGATGATTGAAGAATACATTTTTTCCACTCACAAGATTATAAATGCTTAAAACTCCATTAATTCAACTGGAACATTTCCAGATTTACACCCCTCAATTATTTTCAATTGAATTTTCTTCAATTACACCATCTGAGAGTGGAATTTATCTCTGATAGAGCAAAAGTTAATTTAGTTTACAGCATTTTCTCAGGATTAAGCCAAAGCCTTATTGTAGGAATTCCCCATGTTATCAGTTTGACTTAATTTTCTCTTTTATCATGACTCTAATAACAACAAAACCTTCAAAAAGTGAATGTTTAAGCAGACGGTGAGAGGGAAGTAAAACTATTTTAAACGCTTCACAACAATGTAAACTCATCTATTATTTAATGTACATTCATAAATTCTTTTGAGCTACTAACATCATGTTCCAGAAGGTAGAGTGTATTTTGTTAGTGCCAAATAATGCTCATGATCTCCAGCTAAAAGTCTCAGTAATAAATTTAAAGGAAAATCTATAAACCATTAAGAACTTTCATTCAAAATACTGTTGCCAGGCACTTTTGTTTTCACCCAGCAAAGGCCACAACCTACTGAGCAATGCTGAGGACATTAGTCTTAATTATTCAGGGGATTAAAACTTTAACAGCTCCTACAATCAATATAGCTTCTCAGTAAGGCAAAAAAAAGTATAATTGCTTTTTTTTCCCTTCTATCCTTTGCAAGATATTTCATAAGAGAGGAAAAAAATATCCTAAAGTAGCTTATGAAAACTTAAGCTTTTAATACAACATTTAATACAACATTTAATATAACATTTAATATAACATTTGCAACTTGCCAATTTTAAATACTGAGAATTCTTTCTTTCTAAGATATGTTTTTGTCCAGTTTGTAATGCAATGGAAGCAGGTGGAAAATAACAAAGACAACATGTCAAGCTTTTTCTTAAAACAAAGGTTTGATCAGTGCTTCATACATTAAATAATAGATAATTTCACGTAAAATAATGCAGTACTCTATTTTATCTAGTGTCATCCACTTTAAAAATAATCTTTGCTTTACTCAATCTTTAAGCAATTGAAAAACTGTTTGTAGTGCATATATATTTAATCTCCCTCTACAGCATGGACAGATTGAAAACATATTAATTTGTCTTTACTTGATATTCAAACTGTCATCTATAATCTGTGATGATTTAAGATGACAGGGAGTTTTTTAACTAAAACACAGGGCCAGTAACCACGATCTGCATATTATTTTTCCTTCATCAAATGATTTGCTACTAAATCACTTAGAAGTTTTTTATGTGAGCATTCAGATACAAGTTGTTTTCCCCTTCAGGAGGAAGTTAACACTATTTGAAGTCCATGTGGTTAAAAAAAAAAAAAAGATACTGGCTCCAAAAATGTGATCAGAAGTCATTTGGGACTTTTACAAAGGGCTGATTTGGCAGCACTGTGTAGGTTACTCTGAAAGTAATACCTCTATTTATTTCCTTGGACACTCAACAGCTAGAAAGAGCACCGTAACACTGTTTGATAGAGCAAACTCTCAGCTACAAAACACTGTTTTTTTTTCAACATAGTCACCACCAGTAGCTGTGCATCCTCTGCCAGCAATGAACAAGAGCCTGCATGCTGTGCTTGTAATAATCTGCATGGCCATTCGGACCAGGGCTTGTCTTTCACATCACTGTGACCACTGCTGAAACACACCGCCCACCACCTCACTGTGCTCACATCCACTGCTTGGTCACCATAAATGGGTGGGCATTTACCAGTGAGGCTTCGGTGACAGCACACAGATGCAGATACTTCCTTCAGTGCCTGTAAGGTCTGGAGGTGACCACAGTGGCCTTATAGCACCCAGGCCTGACTGCGTGGCCAATCCCCATCACAGCTTCATGTTAAAAGTGAGACTGAAGAGAGCATTCAGAGGTGAGGAGCTGGAGGGGCCACAATGTTCTCGCAGACACTTGGTCCTGTGCTGCTCAAGGCTCCCTCCTTTGGAGAGGCGCACCTGTGGAGACTGCAGCTGCAGCTCTCAGGTCAGAGACCTAATTCTGCCTTCCTCTGTGCAGGCCAGGAGCCCGAGCCTTAATTTCAAAGCCAAAAGAACACTCTTGATGGCAAAACCTAAAGGAATGTGTGGAGGTGCACAAAGGGCTTGGTACAAATACTGGGGAACAAGGAAACCCTGATTTTTCTGCATTTTGCTAACCTATGCTGTTTTTTCTTGCTTCTAAACATGATTAAACTGCAGTCATTCCACATTCCATTCCACATTGTAAAAATTACAATCAGAAATGAAAAGTTCACCTGGTTACAGTGAGGTATATTGTGGTGTGAAAGCAGTTTAAGGAGTGATACGTAGTTCTATGAAATGTGTCCCACAATGAAGGCTACAGTGATGACAGCATCTAGCAATGCAAGCAGCCCTCAGGCAGTTTTGGTACTAATGCAATGACTTTGCAGATGATAAGATGTGAGTAAAGATGTGTGTCTGCCTCTAATGAAAGTAGATAATGGCAGGACAAGGGGAAATGGCTTTAAGTTGAGGGAGGAAAGATTTAGGTTGGATGTCAGGGGGAAGTTCTTTACAGAGAGAGTGGTGAGGTGCTGGAACAGCTGCCCAGAGAGGTTGTGGATGCCCCGTCCCTAGAGGTGTCCAAGGCCAGGTTGGATGGGGCCTGGGCAGCCTGGTCTAGCATTAAAGGGGGAACTTGGTGGCCCTGCCTGTGGCAGGGGGGTTCTTGATCCTTGAGGTTCCTTCCAACCCAAGCCATTCTATGATACTATGATTCTACAATTCTACGATTCTATGAAAAGAATGATGGGTTCCAGGGGAAGAAAATCTTTTAAATACCAGTTATTTTAGCTTTCAGTCCCATGTTTCCATACAGTCTTTTCTCTCAACTGAAGGCATGACACGAGCGGCAAATAACAGAAACAATAAAGCTAAACAGGAAATGCCTAAGCAGATCTTTGGTCTAAATCTGACTGTCTGTAAAACTCTGATATGCACGAAAGAATGTCTTCTGGAGTTTTCCATTTGCCTTGATATAAATAAATCACCGTTTACAAAAGGTCAGCAGTTATAACAAGGATAGCAAAGGTCTGAGTCCCCATCTCCTTGCTCTTTGAATTTCTTTTCACACGTTTTGCACAAAAATCGAAGGATGCTCCTTCACACCTTGTAGCCTCATCCTTCTGTTCACCTATGAGAAGTGAACTTTAACACAAATTACAAAGAAAACGATATGTTCCTTTAGGTAATTCTATTACTCTATAAGGAAGACTGCAAAAATTTTAGTGTTAACTGTTTTTCTGTTAATGTTTCAACTTCACATCTTACTTGAGAAAGAAAGCTGTAAAAGTAGGATGATGTGAGTCGACAGACTGAAAACTGGTGTGTGAGAAGATACAGTCAACACTCATCATTTCTAAAAAATGATGCCAGTGCATATTTAAGACATGTAGACAATACACGTTTACACTTTTGAACCATGTACATATCCCTATAAGTTTTCAGTCTGTGTCTACCTCACCACTTCATCAACAAGAAATTTTCCCACAGCACCAAGCAAGACTTCTGACAGTTTGGATCAGAAGAATAGCAGTAGAGAGGGAGCAAGATGAGGACAGTAAAACACAGAGAATTAAGTGTAAATGTATAGATGAATACGTGATATTTTGTAAATGCACACTGTGTGCATATCCATCAGTGTATATGCGTACACAGTTTAGAAAAAAAAAAAAATGAGGAAAAATGTTAAGGTTACTACAGTAAAAGCCACTTCAGATTTCCTCATTAACTTGCACCTGGCTAATATAATTTAAAAGCCAGTATATTTATTAAAGATGTATAGTTAAATCATTAAGGAAAGGTGATTTTTCCAACTTTTAACAGGAGTTATATGGCTTAAACTATATTTGCAGTGTTTCACAGAGCTTCCTTTTAGACTCTCACATGCATTACTGAGTCTTGAAATGTCAACTACAACACCTTTAAATCTTATCTGAAATATGTCTAAATCTACATAAGATCTCTGCTTCACTGCAACTTCTGCTTGAAACTTCTTTCCACTTATGCTATTTTTTGTCATTATAGCTCTGGAGAAATTATGTCTATTTCTTCAGTAAGAGTACAAAAACTGACATAAATCAGTAGTTTCTTAC